GTTTTTAAGCATATTTTTTTCTCGAAAGTCGGTAGGGGTTACGGTGTTTTGAAAATTGATAAAAAGATTTAGAATTGTGTTCTATTATGTGGTAGAATTTGGCTTAATTCAAAGGTGCCCATCAGGGTGAAAACATCCCTTTTTCGGGGTGGGGGTTTAAAAAAATTTGTGGAAAAACCAAGTAAGATGAAACCTATTAATGTTTCAAATCAAAAAAGCCATCGTGTTTGAACACGTTTCAAAAATAATTCGAAAAATTAAAAAAAAAATAAGTTAAACGTTAAACAGTACCGGAAAACGACGATCTGTGTTATCAAATATAATCTCAACATATGCGTTGGTAAATTGTGCTTCAGAGTTCTCATGAAGTAACATTTGCCTATGTTGTGATCTCAAATTGGAGTATTCATTAGTAAATATCAACTGGATAGCTAAAAATAAAATGATTTTAGCACATAAACTTAATCGCGAGGGCTATTAAACAATTTACCACAGAAAATGTTGCTTTTTCCGGCGCCGTTTCGACCAACAATAACATTACTGTGTTTATCGAAGGATTCTATAACAGTATTGTTTCGGTAACTCTTAAAACCCTCTATAATAATCTAAAAGGATAGTTCAAATTTAAATCAGTATTCAAATAATTTGATTCATGGATGGTAAAATTTACCTGTTTTATGAACATTATAACGCTGTTTCTTTACTTATATTACAATAAAACACACTTTAAAAGTAGTAAATGCACCAACAATCACACCTGCAAAAAAGAATTGATCGTCAATTGTTTTTTAAGTAAAATTAACCGTCACTTTCTTTTAATAACCTAAAAGTAAGTTTAAATTTAAATCCGTATTCAAATAATTTTAATTTATGTATGGGACCATTTGTGATGGAAAGTTTACCTGTTTTATGAACTTTATAATGCAGATTCTTTAATTTTATTTCAATAAAACACACTTTAAAACTAGTAAACGCACCAACAATCACACATGCAAAAAACAATTGATCGTCAATTGTTTTAACTAAAGTTAACCGTCACTTTTTTTAAATTTACAAGGGGTGTAAAAATAAAATTTGTTCACAAAGGATTAAAAAGAAAAATGTTTTTTTAAATAACTTATACATCATTTTATGTATTATTTTATATCGAGAAAAATAATTACAATTAATTAATTGATTTTTAAAAATATTTTGTCCGGTGAGCGCCATCTAGTTGTAGTATTAAAAATTAAAATTTTATCAAACGAGATTATTATTATTATTACTTATTATTAAGAATTATGCGATTTATTGTTATGAATTATTATTATTATTAAAATGACATATAATATATTAAAAATATATTAAAAAATATATTAAAATATAACAAGAAATATTTTCGTGGATAAGCGCCATCTATTCTGTATTGACGTTTGACATAACCTAAATAAACATTAAATTTATTGATAGAAATTATGTGATTTTTGTATTTTTAAACATTTATAATGGTGAGATCATGTTCGGTTTCTGGTTGTAAAACGCAATTTACAAAAGGAACAAAGTTTCACAAGTACGTTAATTCCTTTACTAACTTTTCTATTCTTGTCTGCTTCAATTTGGAATTTCAGATTTCCTAAAGATCCAACGTTAAGAAATCAATGGATTGAAGTTATAGGAAGAAAAGGTTTCATTCCTTCTGAGTCAGATATAATTTGCAGTATTCATTTTACAAATGAAGATTACACCATAAATTCATTTGGAAATAAAGTCTTAAAGAAAAATGTTCTTCCATCAATGTTTGATGTGTCCATCACAGAAGACACAGAACCTAATATTGAAACTGAGTCTTTGACAATAGAAACTATAACCGCTTGCAATTCCAATGATGAAGGAACTATCACTGCATACAATTCAAATGATGAAGATACAATTAGCTTATGCAATTCAAATGAAGAAACTGTATCAGCTTTTGATTCCAATGATGAAGGAACTGTTTCAAGTTGTGAACTAGATGAACTAACAGTACAAGGAAAATCTACTGTGGTAATATATGAAAATGGAATTAATTTAGAGGAGAATAATCTGAAAGGTGGAGAAAAAATCGAAATAGTTAATGTAAGTGATGAAAATCAAGCGATAATTGAAGTTGACAAAATTTTTCATAAAAACGAAAATGTTGATATGACTCCTGTTAAAAGAAAACGACCATATCGTCAGTATCGTTACATTGGAGATTTAAAAAATGTTGATTTTACATCTCCCGATGAAGCAAGAAGATGTCTTGAATTAGCTTTAGGCTGTGTTGATAACCAAAAATTAAAAATCAAACGATTACGACAACAAGTTAAAAACACTAACAAATTTATTTTACAAACTGAATTTGAAATGCAAAGAATGTTAGAAAAAAAAGTTATGGAAATTTGATTTTTTTAATTGGTTTATTAATGTTTTAATGTTACAATTTTTTATGTAATAATATTAATTTAACAAATTTATTCGACTTTGATACCTGTTTTAGAAGAAATCCAATCAAGCATACTTTCAGTACGTACATAACCAGATGGGGCTCCACTAGCACAACCAGCAGAAGAAACAAAACTTACAATACCATGATGAGTGACCTTATTACCATCAATTCTTACAAGTGGGCCACCAGAATCACCCTGTATTTATCAAAAAACATCAAATTTTTATTTTGTATTTGTGGTTAAAAGAAACTTACATTACAAGTACTGTGATGTGGATTGCCAACACAACAAAGAGTTGAACTGATGATTGTTGCTGATCCATAATAATTAGCACATTGTGTATTACTGATTGTTGTAAGATCAACATAGTTCAAAGCGGAACTAACACTACCGTCTAAAAAGAAAAATATTAAAACATTTTATTTTAATAAATGTCATCATTCTCACTGTCGTTAGTTTTTCCCCAGCCGCTTACTCTAAGAGTTTCTCCAGTAGTAGCTGTGTCACCCTTTGATGGAAGATTAATTGGTTGAATAACATCGGAGAATTCGATTGGGTCATTAAGACGAATAAGGGCAACATCATTATTTAAATTACTGTTGTAACCTTCATGAACGAATGCTGTAGTTGTTTGAACTGTAAGGGATCCAGTTCCACCACCAGATGAATAGATTGTGCCAAGTCTCAATGTGAAACTAGAGGCACTATAAAACATAAATGTAGATTTATGTAACAACAATAATTAATATATCCTTACCCATCTGCGCAGTGAGCAGCTGTTAAAACCCATTGGTTAGAAATTAGAGCACCTCCACAAAAATATGATGATCCACTTACAATGAAATTAACGGCTACTTGCCAGGGAAATTGTCCAACATCAGCAGGTTTCCCATCGATGATACGTCCATCATCAATGTAGTTGTAATAGTCAAGCAAAGTCATAAATTTCGACTTGAAACAGAAAATTTCATCACAAAATATTTCAATTTTTGTTAATTACATCTATTTCATAATACATTTCTCTCTAAATGTAACTTTTTCGTTATTAAGATGCTCTACATATTTTGCAAAAATAGATTATTTAATTATATTATAACTTACCTTTGCGTTGTAAGCCGATACGGCGGCCAAAGCCGAAACAAGGACGATCAAAAATTTCATTTTGGCTGATTCTCATTTTCACGCTGAATGTGTCCGTCTTATATACAAAAAGAAAGAAAAAAATCAAAGTAAACAGTTAGTTTTGTTATAAAGTACGTTATATAATTTTGATAACTATATTTACAGTAGATATATTTTGTACTTAAAGTAATTGATGGTTGTTTACATCTCAAATTAAATTGAATACTTTAATCCAGATATGATCAGTAAGTTTTCAAGTGTTATGCTACATATTGCACAAAATATCAATTTTTTTAAGTAACTTGAATTGATTTAATAACAATTTTTAAAAAAATTTGTCCTTGGGGGATCTCTTTTTATTTACAAAATAATAAACGTGTTGTATCAAAGTTACTAAATTTTAGATAGTAGATTTAAGTGAGTACCGTTAGCGCAAAATGATTTTTTTAAATATTTAACATTATTAATATTTGGTTAGAAAAATAGTATTTGTTTAAGAAGGATGCAATTTTATGCAATTTTTTGCCATAGATAATTCAACGTTTTAAGCGTAAATATGAATTAACAAAAATGATCAAATTTTTAATATGGGACAATATGAATTTAAAAACATTGTAAGAAGAAGAAAAGAACTCTTATTATAATTTTTTTAATCCTAAATGACTTCACAGAATAAGAATGTGGATGAATAGCAACATTGGGCTAGTAACTACCAGTTTTTGTGACTGCAAATAGTTGATTAGGGTGAATATAATAATAATATATCTTTATTGTGCAAAAACATTCAAGTGTTACACTCGTCAATCAGTACTACAATAACCATACAGACTAGTATAATAATAATTATAACAAAGCAAACGCAATACATTAATAATAGCAACAATAGTTGTAATTCCAAAAATAAAAGCAACAAAACAGTAAATCTCGCACATGATCACTAAGAGTCAAAATGAATTACGGTTCCGATTCACATATATTGAAATTTTCGGACGTAATTGTGTCGTTTAAAACATCAGTGCATGAGTAATAGGCCCGCTCAACCAAGAATTTATAAAGACAGTTCCTTAGAGATTTAAGAGGCAATCCGGCGACAGTGAGTGGCAGCTTATTAAAAAACTTAACAGCAACAATATTCACACTTTGGTGACCCTTTGATAATCTGAAATATTTAGGTATGAGGCACCCATTGTTTCTAGTGTGGTGGTTATGGACTTCACCATGTGTAACAAAATGCTGATGTCACAGACTAGCTCTCAAGAACTTCTCGTTTCTGGTAGTGGGTTTCCTAGCTAGGTCCACGGAGCGGCTCGCGTACCCAACTGTCCACGCACTACCCTTTTCTTGATAGCTAGAAATGACTAAGTTAGGGGTTGGCACACTGCTTTCGTTCACTTGAAAGCGAACGGCAGTAATTTGGAATTAAGAATAAAAATAGATAGAAAGAAAACGAAGTTTCACCGTTAAAGAATAAATTTACTTTATTTTTGAAAAAGAACGACTTATATAAAAAAACAACTGAACAAAGATTTTAAAAAGTAAAAATTATACGACGTAATCTATTCAACAATTTAGCTTTGATACATTTACTCTTATTACGAAATTTGCCGAGGTGGTTAGCAGGTTCAATGAGAAATCAGATGTTATAAGATTTTAATAACGCTCACCCATTTGTTAAAATAAAATATTCAACGAAGAAAAAGAATCCAATACAACGAATTTTATAATTAAGTTGCTATAAATTCAAATCGCACGTCTCGAATTTAAAACACACCAAAAACTTTAATTTCCCAGGTTCGCCCGATTCTTTTCCATTCCAATCCCGTAACCAACTCCCTAATTTTTTCTTCATTTCTTCCCTGCTCCATCTACTCTTACTGCCACCTCGGCATATTCCTGCCAGAGTCGCCTACGTAGTATTTAGTCTGGACCCTCGGTTCTCACGACGCAACTTCGTAATTAAATTACAAAGTTCTGCCTTTACAATGGTTCTTACTGTTTACTACAATGTATTGCGTTTACTACTTCATCGGTTTTCTAATCCCCAAAATACTATTTGTTACAATTACTACAATGTATTACTTTTTATTTTTTAACGCTTTCGAATCTCAAAATGCGGTTTGTTACACTGACTTTGTACCTTAATCTAGAGTATGCTGTGGTATATACAGGGTGATTCAGAAAACCGCTGACAGACTTCTAGGGCAGGCAATACATCAAAAATTAAGATGAAAAGTCTTAATATACATGGGGTCGCAAATGCCTCGTTGGCGAGATCCAAACCAACCCAACCCTGTATACAATGAAAGAAATGTCAGAATTTTCAATGAAACAAATGAGTTCCTGCAGTCATCACGATACTTTACATTATTGAGGACGCGGACTGCACGTCGCTGCAATCTGAAGACACGATCGCACGATGAGGCCCCACCCCATGCAACTATTGAGTACGATGACTGCCGCGACACATTCTTACTCAAAACCCGTAAAAAAAAACACTACCACTGAGCTTCTCACAAACGGCGTTCATGTGTTGCTCCCAAGTCAACGAAGAATCAAGATAAACCCCCAAATATCTTACACGGATTAACATTAAACTGCTTTCGAAGTGTGAACGTTGACAAAACTGTTTTATCTCCATTCAGGCTCAATTTATTCATTGCCATAGCTCGGCATTAGTCTTCGATGAATCAGCTAAACCACAAGCAGTCTGGGAATCCTTGCTTTTACTGATTATAGTGGTGTCGTCTGCATACATGATTACAGACGCACCGTGAATGCTATTAGCTAAATCATTGACGTAAATTAAGAAAAGAAGAGGTCCCAGGATTGACCCCTGAGGAACCCCGATATTAACGATCATTTTCTTAGATAAGTTACCATGACAGTTCACAATTTGTGTTCTATTAGTTAAATAAGTTTTTATTAAAGTAACGCTTCTAGAATCGAAGTTATATTTAGCTTATTTCTTTAGTAATAGATCATGTTGTACACAATCGAAAGTCTTACTTAGGTCGCAAAAAATAGCTGTCAAGTACTTTTTTCCTAGTCTAAATCCAAATTGGGATGGAGTGAACAAATTATTTTCTTCAAAATACCTAGTTATTTGGATTTTCAATACTTTTGCAAAGATCTTAGATATAATAGGTAACAGTGAAATTGGTCTGTAGTTTTCAATATTTTCAGGATTTCCCTTTTTATACACGACGACTTACGAACAACTAAACCTGTCTTAAGAGCTGCCGGATATATGCCCTCCCGAATACATAAATTTATTAACTTAATTAATGGGGATATAATTACATCCTTAATTCCCTTGACCGGAGTCATATCAAAGCCGTATATGTTTTGGTATATTTCCTCTTGAAACTATTTAAAATGTCTCGCATTTCGGTGAAGCTGACTTCCTGAAAAGAAAAGTTACAGTCCCGGATGTTAATATTGTCAAGTGAATCACAGTCACCATTATTGTTATATTATTTGATAGGGAATTTATAATTTTCAAAGGAAGATTGATAAAATAATCATTAACCTTCGTTTTATCATTAACTTCGACGATCTGTTATTGTTTATAACGTTCCAAACTGCTTTGCTGCTATAATTTGAGTTTATAAGAAATTCATCATTGAAGCGAATCTTTGATTCAATGATCTTCTGGTTATAGTGCTTATTATATGCAGACCGTATATTCCTTAGTTCAATCGAATTGAAACTGAGACAAAGTCTATTTAGTAAATTCAAATGATCACGCATTTGTTTGAATTAAATAAAGGGAAAGAATAAAATATACAGGGTGAGTCACATAAGAACCGACACAGAGCAGGGACATGTAGAGGACAATAAATTAAGATGATACTAAGTTGTACCCCTGAGGAGTTATAGGCCTTCAAAGTTGGCTCTTAAATTTTTAAAATATTAAATATCTTCGTAATACATTAAACTAGAAAAACCAAATTTGGTATACGTTATGAGTGTACCGAGGGTATTAACTGGTAGCAAGTTGACACCAATTGAGGCATTTTAAAGGGTTGATTAAGGGCGAAGATTTGTGCTATGACAAAAATACACTGTAGTATATCGTTGGGATGTACAAAAATAATGTAAGGCACTTGGAAAAAGAAGGCCGTGGGGATTATAAGGCGATTCGATATTTCGTACAAAAACGATTTAATACCAAGTTTTGCACTTCACCACACAACAGCAAACTTGATTAATATTAAGCAATTTGTAACTTGATCTTTTGTTGGGTAATATAGCCCACAATTCTTAAGAAGAAAGCAGTTAAGAAAAAGTCTCAGTTGAAAAACTCTACTCTAGCATCTGAAGTTTTTAAATAAAATAGGTCAAAATCATTAATTAAGAACCGGCGATTTTTTTAAAAATATTGTTGTACTAGGGTTAATAAGGTCCATTAAAGCGGGTGTTTAACAGTGTTTTTTTGAAAACCTCATTGGTGAGTCAAATGTTCTTTTTCTACTTCTTTCATATACAATTTTATTACTGTTTGAAATTAAGTGGACTTTATTTGCTGCAGGTACCTTACATTTCGCAATTAACTTTATTTGACGTATACGATGGTTTGTACGTTGTTACACATTTTCTTCTTTATTGATGAGCTTTTGTTGTTTAAATCATCGTACTTTTTCTAAACACAATTTTTGTGACAATAAGACACGAAGTGTGCAACAGTTTTGGCTGATACACCTCCAAAGTAGTCTACTACACCCTTCAAATGGTAGCTGATATTTTCCACCACTATAACTTTCGGAAATATTCCAAAAGAAAATTGACATGTCGTGAAGGTTTCAAAAATTATACAGGATTTCCCAAAATTCCCGGGACGGAGCTATAAGTTTTAAACGAGTAAAAACAAAATTTGGGAATAACTAAAGAGTCATAAAAACTACATTTTTAGATAGTTGAGAACTTCCATGCAATGTGGAGGTTTTTTAGGGGGTGACCACCTCTATATTTTTAAACAGCAACTCCTGTAGAGTTTTACCTTATTTTGAAGGTAATGAAAAAAGAACTACAACCCTATAAACCAAAACCCGTATCTTAATTCTTTCAAGAATTGTGAGGGGTTGACTACCAAATGGGTAAATAAAATGTTTTCATGCTTTTTTGCACTTTTATTACGATTTTTATAACAAATGTTCAAATTGTCAACCTTCTTCGGTCTCGCAATAAACCAAACGTTCATAGATGGAAGTTTGAACCATCAGGAGCATATTCCAAGTGATATTGGTGGTTCTTCAAGTATGCGATTTTCCAAATCATTGATTGATTCTGGTTTTGTTGCATACACTCTACTTTTCAGAAATCCCCAAAAGAAAAAATCGAGTGATGTTAGCTCAGGAGATCGTGGTGGCCTCTCAATGTCACCTCTACTACCAATCCAATGGTTTGGAAACGTACGGCTTAAAAAGTCTCGGACTGCGCGACTAAAATGTGGAGGACTACCATCTTGTTGGAACCACTTATTGTCAATACCATTAGGGCATACGGCACGTACACTTGGAACCACTTGATTTTCTAACAGATACAGATATCTGTCTCCGTCCAAATTTCCATTAATAAAAAATGGACCAATTACATTCTCTCCCATAATACCAGTCCATACATTAATTTTCTGTGGTCTCTGAGTATGACCTCTTATTAAACGTGCATTTTCGTCACTCCAATAACGACAATTGTGCCATTAACCTTACCATTCAAGTAGAAAGTAGCCTCATCAGAGAAAAAATTTGAAACCCATTTTCCCATTTGGTAGTCAACCCTCTTTCAAGTCTTGAAAGAATTAAGATATCGGGTTTTGGTTTATGGGGTTGTGTTTCTTTTTCTATTACCTTTAAAATAAGGTAAAACTCAATAGGGGTTGCTATTTAAAAATGTAGGGGTGGTCATCCCCTAAAAAAACTCTACATTGCATGGAAGTTCTAAACTATCTAAAAATGTAGTTTTTATGATTCTTTAGTGATCCCCAAATTTTGAAATTTTTTGTTCACTCGTTCAGAACTTATAGCTTCGTCCCGGGAGTTTTGGGAAACCTGTATATGGGTAAGTTACAACCGGTACTTTCATAGTTTTTTCTCCACAGCAACAGTTGACTGCCACAGGTTTAAGGGATTCTTGCAGAAGTTGCTCGAACTTGTGCTGAGTATAGGTGTCTGACGGTAATAATAATAATGCATTTTGTGTTTCTGTAATGTTTTTTTCGCATTTGTTACATTTTGTTACTACCTTTAATGATTTTGGCAGGTAATTGTCTATATTGTCTAGTAACTGAGAAAGGGTATACGTAGCGTCATAAAGGTGTCCCAAAATTAACGCAAGATTTGAATTAAATAGAAAACACAGTTTTTAGTCTTTTGATTGTAATTTTTTTATTGATTCATAAAGTACATAGGATAGGGTTATTTATGAAATAACACATCGGGCAAATGGCCTCCACGGCTTTGCATACACATACGCACTCGTTTGTCGAAATTTTCCATTACCATTTTGCTTAAATGTGGCTGAATTTCGTTGATGCAACGTTAAATCTCCTCCTTTAATGCACGCGTGGTTGTGGGCTTGTTGACGTAGACCTGTGATTTTAAATAACCCCATAAAAAGAAATCTAATGGTGTAAAATCACACGATCTAGGGGGCCAATTTTGATCACCGAAACGAGAAAGTACGCGACCTGGAAATGTCTCATGCAGTAATTGAAGTGTTTCACGGGCTGTATGACATGTGGCACCGTCTTGTTGAAACCACATATTGGCCACATCAATATCATTCAATTTCGGCAAAAAGAACTGTGCTGCGATATCGAGCACCAGTAACAGTCACTGCTTGACCTTTTAAAAAAAGTATGGTCCAATTACGCCTCCAGCCCAAAATCCACACCAAACAGTGACACGTTGTGAATGCATTTGTTTTTCGACAATCACATGTGGGTTTTCAGAACCCCAAAAGCAGCAGTTTTGGCGATTAACAAACCCATCAAGGTGAAAATGTGCTTCGTCGCTTAGGATGATTTTGCTCGAAAAATCAGCATTCATTTGTTGATGCTCAATAATCCATTCAACAAACTCTCTACGCTGTGCATGGTCATTGGGTTTCAGTTGTTGTGTTAATTGAATTTTGTAAGCATGTAGGCACAGATCTTTAGTGAGTATACGCTGTAGAGAGCTTCTTGAAATTTGCAATGCTTGTCCACGACGCCGAATTGAGGTTCCTGGATTGTCGCCGACACTCGCACGCACTGCTTCGATTTTGACATTTAAACGGCTTGTTTTTGGACGACCAGTGTGTTTGGTGTCTCCAACGGATCCTGTCTCCCGAAAATTTTTAATTAATCTCTTCACAGTTGACGAAGTTAAAACAGTATTCCGACCAAATTTTGTACGAAATTTTCGAACTGCGGCCGCCAAGCAGTCATTATTTTTGAAATATTGTTCAATAATGAAGACACGTTGTTCTATTGTGTAACGCTCCATTTTTACTAACCCTAAACTGTCAACTGTCGATTTATTTCTTTTTAGGGTTGTCAACACTTTACTGCATGAATGGTGGCAAATTGAAATCTTGCGTTAATTTTGGGACACCTTTATAAGTAAATTCCTTGGGTTGAGGTTTGGGGGTTAGCTTTTCAATCAATATTTTTGAACAATAAAGGTAAATTTTCTTGGAAACCCCTTCTTTCACAAGCTTTTGAAGCAACTTCATAAACAAATTATCAGTTTTGTCAACTAGGGTTTGGAAGATACGATATTCACAGTATGAATGGCAAAGTATCTGTATTAAGCTGTCAAAACTGTAAGTATTATTTATTACTACTTTACGATTTTCAATATTTTGTGGTCTTAACATTAACTGATTTCCGTTTTTCAGAACACCAATCGAAAGTTGTCTGCTCGGCGTCCGTAAAATGTTGCTAAAGTCTCATTACCGGCTTTCATTACCATCGCGAATTACAAAATATATTTTTTGTAATTCGCGACGGTAATGAAAGCTCTAACAGTACTCAAACGGGTGTTGTAATGAGACTCCTTACAGCATCCGATGCTGTAATAACATTTTAGTAACATTTTATGGAACCAGTTCAAGTTGGTGACATTGGGTCATTAATTTTTCTAGTTGTCAATGTGACAAATTTTGTCTATGGATGTTTAAACACGTTCTTAGCATCGAATACAAGGTTCACAATGATGAGGACAATGAACACAATGGTGTACATGAAACATTTTTTTCAGGTAAATACATTTTGTGTTTTGACAGTTTCTAATTGTCAATTCAAATTTCTATTTTCAAGTGTTACGGTGTTACCAACTGCTATTTATTTTATTTTTGATCTATCGTACTTTGATCATAGAATACTCGAGTACATAATCGAGTGCATAAATTTAAAAAATTTGTTTTTTATTTTATTTATCAAGGGCCGGAGTTTTGCCATTTTAGCCGTAGGGTCGAAGTTAATGTTACGCAACGCATAAAACGTATAATTCATACAAAGCGATCCTGACACATTGTATTGCAAACCGCTGTGTTGCGCAGATCGTCGCCGGAATCCCAGTAGCTTTTCTTTGATGTTTTTTTTTGTTATAACCCTTTATTGTCTCAATAATTAACACTTTTCTCCTTTTCTGGATTGTTTCTTTACCTCTTCTTCTTCTTCCTTCACGTCATATTGAACATTTTTGAATTGGGTATTGTTTCCTCATCAATTCCGAACTAGGCAGCCATACAATTTGAGCTGTTTCCCTTCAATCTTCTCAACTACAGCTGTCAAGCTTAATTCTCCTCTATACTATACGCTACTATATTTCGCAGATATTCATTTCTACTTCACCTATTTTTGATTTATGTCTGCCTAATATTGTCTAAGTTTCCGATGGAAATGCATGGTTTCTTATAACGTGATGTTTATCAGCAGAGCTTGCGATGTTTCCATCTCGATGAGATAACACTCCATCAAATATTAGCACCACTTCTGCGACTACCTTATATCGGGCAAAGTAGTCAAGCAGCCCCTATCGCTCATAGTAGTCTCTATTCTAGGTGGCATATGTTTTACCCATTATGATTTCAAACGCTGACCTTTCAAAGTTGTACACTCTTAGCTCTCCATATATGGCACGCTAGTACTTAATGGGTTAATAAGTGCAGTTCAGTTATTATGTGTTCGCTTCCTAGCTTGTACAGCTCTGGAGGAAGATTATCAATACTGAGCATCTTGTTATTTTTTTGTGTCTGAATACCTTGTTTAACCTCCTCTTATGTTGGAGGTCCTACCTCTTCCCCTTGTTCTTCTCGGTGTATCATTCTTAGAACCTGACTCTCTTCTTCTCTCTCTTGTGTGCCAAGTAAGGTTTGGAAGTGTGTTTTCCAGGTGGTTTTTATCATTTGGGTGTCACTTATGATCTATCCTACGGCATTCTTACTAAGAGTTGACCGCGGTTTACATACCTCCCTTAGATTACATATAAGCTGTTCTTTACCATTTTCCTGTTTTATTTTACGGTTACATCATATCTTGCCTGCTTTTCGTCTCACTCCTTCAAAGGTTGCTCTTCTTTCTCTTGTTCTGCTTTCCCTATATTTTCTGTATGCTTCATTCCTTTCCTCTATGGCTTTTTTGCATTCTTCAACCCCACTCCGCTCTTTTCTTTTCCTTCTTATTGCCTATCGTTTGTGTTACCGTTTCTAATATTTCAGTTTGTTTCACTCTATCAGAAATAATGGATTTCTTCTGTGGTGTCGTCTATGTACACTAAAATCACACTCAAATGAAATTGTACCGCCAGATAAGCGAATCTTGCGCACTACAACATATACGTTTAACACCAATATTTTTGCCATTTGATGATTTAGCAATAAGTCATTACAAACAAATTTTCATTGCAAAAATTAATTAAACAATTAAAATTTTATTACAGTTTTTATTTACTCATTAAATTTCTTTATAGATAATTAAAAATTTTCAAAGTTAACATTACGGCATACATTTTCAACAGTTTGGTAATACAGGATACTTAAATTAAATCTAATAATTAGGTGCTTCAGTATTTTGTTCTTGAATATTATGGTAACCGGAGTTGCTCATTTATCCAACTTAAAATGCTTGTATCCGAGATACGTGTAAATCCAGCTGGTGACGTAGTACCACAACCATCTCCAAGTAGAAAGCTAGCAACTCCCACCAGAACAGAACTACCTACATTTAGTGAATTGTAGTTGACAATAGGACTTCCGAAATCACCCTAAAAAGTTTAGTTAACACAAGTTTAGTTTTATTTTTCTTATAGGAAAATTGTAAAAATTAATAATCTTACATCACAAATATTGTTTCCATTAATTGAATAAGCGCAAATAATTATATCCCGATCAAAATGTGTACCACAAGATGTAGAATTTACGGTAAGATCAGCCCATCTTAAACGATCACTTAAACCATTGGCAGCAGTACTTTCCATACCCCATCCGCTAACGCGAACTAGCTGGCCGTCACTCACCGTAATAGGGTTAGCTGTTGTTGGCAATTGTATCCTTTGAATTCGATCATTAAATACAATATTATTTGTCAATCGTATTATTGCAATATCGTGTTCCATGTATATAGGATTATATTGTTCATGAACTGTAATGGTGGTATTCCTAATTTCCGTTATTAGAACTGTCTGGCGATTATTTTCGTTTGGTCCCAATCTGACTCCTCCAAAATTTAAGGAAAGTCTTCGAACTTCATTACTATGGTAATAATAATACAATAAAAAAATTATTCACAAATTTTAAAAAGATTTTTACCCATCTACGCAGTGAGCTGCCGTTAAAACGCGATTTTCGGAAATAAGAGAACCTCCACAAAACACTGTGCGTTGACTTCGTGTTACAGTTATGGCTACCATCCACGGATATTGCCCCGCTTGAGCCAATGTTCCACTTATAATTCGTGATTGATCATCGAAATCATTTGTATCCTTATTAAATAAAATTTAACAATTTTTAATAATTCATTGTAATAATGAACATTACTTACCCCAAATACGAAACCTAATGAAATTATAAAAACGAATAGTTTTAACATTTTAAAGCAGAAAATTAACTTTCCTGCATAAAAGTATTGAACAAAATAAATAAAAAATATATAATTTCTGTTTTAATAATTACTTTGTTATCAAAAATCCAAGTATTAGGCATCTCATTTTCTTGATAAAGGATTATTTCGCTAGATCCCAGGATATATAGGTTTATTTTACTAGTAAGTACGTAAATCTTCAGAATTTAGATTAAATTTAAAAATATATATCGCGGTGTTTTGAACCCAATTTCTTTCCACCATTGCAGCGATGAATCATCTTATTATCATTGATATCAAATACTAAAAACAATGTATTACTGTATCGAATTTTGGAGTTGACTTTTTCATTTACACGTTATAAAATGTTCTCAACAGTCTTCAGCTTCGTCTTCTTAATCGCGGAATACTGTCCGCCAGTGTAGCTTAACAATCCCTATGTCCATAGAATCGATGCTCAACTCAATAACACGAACCATACACCAACCCAAACCTGCGCTGCACGCACCAAAACCTACCAAAACACGAGGAGGTTGATGACACCAACCACACCTGCCTCCGACAAAACAGCAGCCACTGCCGCAGATGAAGAATTTAGTTTCACTAACACTTGGCATCAAGAATGGCTAACAAGGCAGAACAATTAGACCTCAATTAGAACAATTAGAAATTAAAATGTTTACGTTTTTCTTGTTGTTGTGTTTCCATTTTGTTCCGTTAAATCCGTTTGGAGTAGGCCTCGATAACCACTAACCACATTCTTCCTTCAAACGGTCCTGCAAAATCCAGATGGATTCGTGACCACGGAACTGGTGGTGCTGCCCATGAATATAGAGGTAGATGTTGGGTACTCTTTCTCGAGCTTTGACAATACTCGCAATGTTCTATAAACTTTTGTATATCGTTGTTGATATTTGGCCAGTAGACGTGTAATTTCACCATACTCTACATTCCTGTGATTCCCGGGTGTCCCTCATGCAACATCTTTAATATTGTTTTGCGAAGTTTTTCTGGAATACATATCCTTCCCTTCCAAAGAATCATATCTTCCTCATACGATAGCTCATCCCTTTTTTCGTAATATGGGATCAGTTCATTTGGAAGTATATCTTTATCAAGCCAATATGTTTTAATATATGGTATTATTTTGCACAACACGTGATCCTTAAAAACTTCTTTCTGTAATTCTTTTCTTGACATCGGCAGATGTTTAACTCGTAGGTGCAGCAGATGTCCTCGCTTTGGTAGACCAATCGCTTCATTTTTACTTGGTGTATCTTCATAGATAGGTAATCTTGACAAAGCGTAATTATAACTGTTCAATAACATCGCCCATCTTAACAATCGATTACTTGCTATTTTTGGTGTTTCGCGTTTATGACTAAAAATACGTTCTAGCGGTTTATGGTCGGTTAAAAGATAAAAATGTCGTCTGTACAGATATTGGTGAAATGTTGTTACCGCATAGACAATAGCTAATGCTTTTTTATCAATTGTCGAATATCTGGTTTCTACGTCTGTAAAAGTACGGGATGTGAATGCAACAGGTCTTAGGGTATCGTCGGGCATTTTGTGAGCTAGCACCGCTCCTGCTCCTCTTGCCGATGCATCACTACTGACGTAAAGTGGTAAATATTCTTTATAATGTACTAATGTTGATTCTGAGGTTAAAGTTTTCTTCAGTGATTTGAATATTTCTGAATCATGATTTGTCCATATCACCAACTGAGAAGCATCACTTAGCGTGATATAGTTTAAGTGAAACCAAAATGCTCAAACTATGTTATATTGTTGATTAACATAAAAACAACTTAAATAATTAAACAGTTTGGTTTCACTTAAACTATATCACGCTAGGTGATGCTTCTCACTTGGTGGTCGTGTGTTAACTGTCCTTGCAACCTATGCGATGTTAGCCCCCAATTTTTCTAGCCCCTAATTAGATAGGATTTTACATGTATAGTATTTTGATTATAACAAGAGAACCAGGCAACCGATTTCGATAAACAATGTCTCATTCGAAAGCTCAATCTTTGACCAATACCAAAGTGGAAATGCCCGATTCGAAATCACTCTCGAATTCCGCTAAAACGCTAAAATAATGCAAAGGTACACGAAAATAACACAAAAATGACCTTTTTTAAGTGGTGATAACTCGTAAACGATGTAGCCGATGATCAAGATCTATACGTCATTCCATTCGTCGTAGTTTCTTCTATCGAAATCATAAAATGCCCGATTTCAATTTTCTCCCGTTAACCTTGTACAGCCCTTTGAATGACACCGTGTTCGGCTCGTTGTTTATGCACGTATGAACGCCCGAAAGTCTAGCCCCCAATATAAAAAAAATAATTTAAACCAGGGACTAAAAACGAAAAGTATTTTGTTCGTTTCCGATCAGAACGAAAACGAAAAATTTCGTTTTCGTTCTTTTCGTTCACACCCAAAAAATATCGTTTTCGTTTTCGTGAACCGAAATGAAATAACGGTTAAAACCGGTTTTTTACTATTTTTCTAATAAAAGTATGCCAACATGCTTTTTTTTTTATATTTGACAAATAAGTCACTTGTCATAATTTTAATCATAGCTGGCAAAAATTACTAACATAAAATTTATGCTTTTAAAAACTTAAATGTTAAAAATTTCAATCAACTGCATTTTAAGTGGTGATGGCATTTTTACTTTTTATAAATATTAAAAATAAAATTTAGAATGAATTGTTTGGGACCGTNTACAATGTGCATGCGTTTTACACAATTTCATTAGAAAAAAAGATGGCACATTATACGCAGTTCCTGTAATAGAAAAGAATCCGCAAAATCCGAGAAACTTGCCAGATATTGAAAATATAAATATCAATGAAACTTCCTCACCTCAAAATCTCCGAAACTATTTAGCTAATTATTTTTTATCACCAAATGTAGCTTTACCATGGCAATGGAATTATTGTTTATAAAATGTTAAAATGAATATCCATATAATATAATAATATATGAAATAATTCTTGAATTACCTGTCCATTTCATTTTTTGACCTATTGCAGACCAAGCTTTTTCGGTAACATCTTTTCTAGAGTGTTCAGCTAATGTATGATTATATAAACACTGATAATTTTCAATTAACTGAACAAATTTCACCGTTTGATCGCTTTTATCTTCCATTTTTACTTATTATTTTATTTATACGGCGTTACCTCTACGCCAAGCGACCAACACTGCTGTACGCCGGCCGCTATGCAGCTTGCATGTTCAAACCAGATCACGACGCTGCGTCGCCATGTGCAGGTTTTCATTTAAAAACACGTGAGATGCAATGAAGCGTACGTCTTCCTACAATCGTGTCTAATACGCGTCTATGACGAGCAGCTCCATGTGCAGAAGGCCTTTGGTGGACGAAATCGCGACGCTACGTTGTCTCTGCAGATTTTCATATAGAAATACGTAAAATGCACTGAAGCGTACACCTTCTTACAATCGTGTCTAAGGGTGCGTTTACGTTGGAGCTGCGATAAACGATACTAGCAAAATAACGAAATTGTTGTCATAGTTTTATATGCAAGTGTTTATATTGGAGCGACGAATTGTATTCCCTATTTTCTTTGCTATTATCAGGTGTGGTCGGCATGGTTATCGACTGTTTAACTAGTGAAATTTTTGTTAGATCCCCCTTGTGGGACCAAAAAGATAAAAATTACCTCAACAGATTTGTTCTCACAAATCGTTTTCAATTCATTTTGCGCAGCTCTTATCGCTGCTCTCATTGTTGTTCTTATCGTTTATCGCAGCTCTCGTTCCAATATAAACACCTGCATATAAAACTATGACAACAATTTCTTTGTTTTGGTAGTATCGTCGCTATTATCGTTTATCGCGGCTCCAACGTAAACACACCCTAATACGCGTCTATGACGAGCAGCTCCGTGTGCAGAAGGCCTAACTCGTAGGTGCAGCAGATGTCCTCGCTTTAGTAGACCAATCGCTTCATTTTTACTTGGTGTATCTTCATAGATAGGTAATCTTGACAAAGCGTAATTATAACTGTTCAAACTATGTTATATTGTTGATTAACATAAAAACAACTTAAATAATTAAACAGTTTGGTTTCACTTAAACTATATCACGCTAGGTGATGCTTCTCAGTTGGTGGTCGTGTGTTAACTGTCCTTGCAACCTATGCGATGTTAGCCCCCAATTTTTCTAGCCCCTAATTAGATAGGATTTTACATGTATAGTATTTTGATTATAACAAGAGAACCAGTCAACCGATTTCGAAGGTACACGAAAATAACACAAAAATGACCTTTTTTAAGGGGTGATAACTCGTAAACGATGTAGCCGATGATCAAGATCTATGTATACGTCATTCCATTCGTCGTAGTTTCTTCTATCGAAATCACAAAATGCCCGATTTCAATTTTCTCCCGTTAACCTTGTACAGCCCTGGGAATGACACCGTGTTCGGCTCGTTGTTTATGCACGTGTGAACGCCCGAAAGTCTAGACCCCAATATAAAAAAAATAATTTAAACCAGGGACTAAAAACGAAAAGTATTTTGTTCGTTTCCGATCAGAACGAAAACGAAAAATTTCGTTTTCGTTCACACCCAAAAAATATCGTTTTCGTTTTCGTGAACCGAAATGAAATAACGGTTAAAACCGCTTTTTTACTATTTTTCTAATAAAAGTATGCCAACATGCTTTTTTTAATTTTTTTTTATATTTGACAAATAAGTCACTTGTCATAATTTTAATCATAGCTGGCAAAAATTACTAACATAAAATTTATGCTTTTAAAAACTTAAATGTTAAAAATTTCAATCAACTGCATTTTAAGTGGTGATGGCATTTTTGCTTTTTATAAATATTAAAAATAAAATTTAGAATGAATTGTTTGGGACCGTTTCTGTATTGGAGAGGCACGAATCTGTTTTAGTTTCTTTCATTTATTCCCATTAAATTTAGTTACTTGAAAACCACGCACAAACTGCTATGCAGTTTAGTGGTATGCCAGTGACAGATTTTTTTTGTTTTTTTTGCTTCATATTTTAAATAATAATATTTGTTTCTTTTCTCTCTGATCTTGCTTTATTTCAATTAACTTTTACTTATTTAAAAATGTTGTGTCATGGTTAATTTTTGGTTATTTGTAAATAAAGTTATTATTATTATTAAAAATAAGAGAAAAAAATTGTTAACATATTTATTTTATAGTAAAAATATATATATAGAAGATATAGAATAGAAGACCCTTGCATCCCCGATATGTCTACTAGGAGTAGGTTACAAAAATATTGTGTCATTAAACCGGTTAAAACCGGTAACCGAAATTATTTATTTCGTTTTCAATCATGAACGAAAAATAAAAATTTCGTTTTCGTTTCCGTTTTCGTTCTTATAAATTATTCGGTTAATTTCGTTCTTTCGTTTTGATTTTCGTTCCATTCTTAGTCCCTGATTTAAACTAAATCGACTATAATTAGAGCACGGTTTGACGGATTTTAATGTTTTATATCTCAATCGATAGCTTTCGCCTGGCTGAATGCGGTTGTCGAAATACCCGATTCGAAATATTTAAGGATTATTTAAGGATTAACAAAATCGATTATCTTAATTTGACTAGGCGCCATTTTGCCAATAATATTTTTTTGCTTAGTTCTAGTTCAAACGATAATCACAAATACATACAGTATGTCTCCGTAAGGTATAATTGATGATAAATTTTTGAATTCAAATTCCATCTTTTGCAATTAAAGTCTGGATGTCATAAAATGAAATATAACCAAGTTTTACGTCAAATGTCCTCACAGTACCAAAGTTTGTTAACCGTTGCAGGTAAAGTAGTCTTTCTGAGCAATGTACAACAAAAGTTGATTAAGATAAAATGTTTGTTATGTTAAATTATAACGATATGCCGAATTTTATTAATTTAGGATTAAAAAGCAAAATGCAGATTTTTAAATCATAAAATTAAGAAAACATTTTCGATCTAAACTAAATTAACATAAGATAATAATAGATAAGAATAAAGCTTATTCAATGATACCACCACCAACACTAACACATAATTCAGCCCTTTTCCGACATTGTTTATAACTTTTTCTAATATGGTCCAACGGAATTTTTCTAATAACAGTTTTAATTTTTTGTTAAATTGTTCTTAAAATTTTCAGTGTACACTTTTTGTTTGACATAACCCCAAAAATAAAAATCCATAATAGATGAATCCGGACTTCTTGGCGGCCGTGGTTGCGGACCATATCTAAAAATCCATTTTTTTCCAAATAACTTATTTAAACAATTTCTAATTAAAATGGTCGATTTATTGCGTTTTTCTAAATCCACGCCGGCGGCGCCGTGAAAATGATTAAATAAACAATTTTCTAGTATTTCCAAATATCGGTGTTGATTCAAATTGCCGTTTATGAAGTAAGATCCAACAACACCGTGCCACGAAATAGCACACCACACATTCACTTTCTGGGAATACTGGCGTTTACAAGCTATGCGATAATGTGGATTAGTCTTCGACCAGAATCGACAATTTTGTGATGTGATTTTGTGATCACTCCATTAGTGGTGAACGATACTTCGTTCGAAAATATTATGTTTTTTAAAAAAGTTCTGTCTTTCAAAATTTTGTACCCAAGCCACAAACAATAATCTAAACGTTTTGCTTCATTACGTAATTCGATAGTGTGGTTAAATTTTGGTTTATACGGCAATATTTTATTTTCTGGATAAATTCTTTGTAAATGGGATTTACTTATACCGACTTGAACTGCCCTTTGTCTTAACGACACCTTACCGCAATCCATTGCGTTCGTTACTGCAACAATCGACCCCGGATCATGTTCATCTAAAAGCTTTTTTCCTTCCTTCTATTTTCCACATAGCCCGTGTCCGAAAATTTTTTAACAACTCCCTTAATTGTTTTTTTATCGGGGGTAAATACACAAGAGCTTGACTTTTAATCGGATAATTTTATTTTTACACGAAAGTTTTGTTACCATGGAAATAACTCGAAATCAAAAGCATGATAAAATCGCGACAGCTTTAGCTGGAGCGATTTTATCTTTTGATTTTGATTGAGAGTTATTTCCAAAGGGTAACAAAACTTGAGTGAATTAAAAATAAAATTATCCTGATTTAAAATCAAGCTCGAGCGTATTTTAGGGAGATTAATACACGACAATTGCACAATTTATCAACAATTTTTAATTATTTATTAACTATTTTTGACTTAATTATAGTTGTCAAAAATGTGACGTAAACAAAAGTATATATATGGTAGTCGCGTTTTAATCAGTTATAAAATATCACGTGTGATTTATTCAGTTGAAAAACCTAGGTAACTTTTATCCACTTA